ACCAGGTGGTCCGGAGCGAAACCTCTCTGAACAGAGGGATGGCAGCTCTACATTTGGTACTAGGTATCAAAAAAGCAGGCAACTGGATATCAAAAACAGATATGACAACAGTCACTCTTAATACCATTTTATGTACTTCAAATGCAAGGCAAGACCAAAAATTTTTCAATCAAGCCTCCCTACTCCCTTCAGAACTAAAGTTATGCATGAGTTGATATTAAAGAACTTGTAGTACTCTGTATATAGAAACTATATATTTCATGGGAAAACATATAATCCTAACTACCATATTCTATTTATAATCCTGCTATGACTATCACAACCCCACACAAACTCTTCTTGAAGTGTTAGGCACTCTGCAGTAGATCAGGAAACAGCAATATTTTCATCCCACTGCCTGACTTGACTGGTATGCTACCTGTTTTTCATCATCCATTAAAAACTGAGGCTTTAAACTTGAAGCAAAAACATGCATAAACATTTGGGAAAAAACCCCAAGCTCACTGAAAACAACATACTTTGGAGATGCCTTGCAAAAAAGGGATTTGGTCTAACCTCTCAGTTCCATAGAACTATTTTATTTCCAAAGAAACTCCAAACAGGAGCAGGGAGGTACTCACGAGACTTTTAGAGTTTTCTGAGAAATAAACGGGGTTTATTTCAGTGTTTTTAAGAGTTACATTTTTTGCCTACTGGGACTTCAAAACAGGAGTTAACGTGCCTTTGCACAACCTTTCATGCCACAATCTTTTATAGATTAACTACCTTCCCCCTCTTAATATACACACTTGCCCCTGCTGCAGGTCTGTTTCCAACCTGGCCTGGAATCAGCCATAAAAGAGTACTTTTACATGGAAAACTCACAAGCAGAGCAGAGGGAATTCTAAAATTTTCGAAGTACCACTGCCTAGATGTCAATTTGAAAATATAATTTTAGCAAATCCATTCTCTTAAGAAATCTTCACAACACAATCTGTCATTACAGCGTCTTAGTTGAAGCAGTACAAGACCTGAGCAAGATCCACGCTGGAACACTCAGCAATATATCCCTTATTAGCAGAATCTGCTGCAGGTGCAGCAAGTTCCTGAAGAAACAAAAAAGACGAGATTTTCCAGCTATTCTATACATAAATAGCCATTTTCTTACCAGTTATCATTACAATGATATTTACAAAAGCCATTTTTAATCAGTCCTTGTCTGTAAATTTTCTATGGAAAAATTCAGTACAGGGGCATGCAGTGACTTGGCTCATAGTTCATGGAGGGCCAGCAGTAAAGTTTAGGCTACAAAGCATGTAACAGTCCAGCCATCTAATCCCCAGTGCACTTACTGATCCATATTCAGTAACTTCTCAATTATATATCTTTTATCTAGAAATAACAAAGAGTTTGTATTTGTATACATCTTTCCCCCTACATGATGGGCACCATAAAAATACATGTCCTCAGACTATACAGGTAGGATTAGGTAATTAAATTCTATATTAAGTGTCATGTCTGAAAGTAACTCAGGTGAAAAACTGTAATTGTGTCTGACTGGCACATTATTGTAACTCTGTGAGCAATTCATTCTAAACACCAATGCACAGACTAAGCTAACAGATAAATTAAAATAAAAACCAACCATACTGCTTTCACTCCACAAATCACCGTGGTACTTCCTAACTTCACCAGGGCAGAACCACCTGCAGTTGTAATTGAACCTGAAGAGAAAAAGTACTGTTCAATAAAACCTGTTTTTCATTCGAAGAGCATTATTAACATCTGCCTTCACAAACTGTTAACGTCCCATCATTTTATACTAAACAGAGGCTAAGCAACATCTCAAATCCAGAGTGGGACAATCACATAGAATGGCTGAGGCTGGGACAGCTGGACCTCATCTGGTCCAACACCCCTACTGAAGGAGGGCCACCTAGAGCTGGTTGCCCAAAACTGTACCCAGATGGCTTTTGATTATCTCCAAGGAAGGAAACTCCACAACTTCTGTGGCCAACCTGTGCCAGCGCTCCATCACTCCATCAGTAAAAAAGTGTTTCATCATATTCAGAGGGAACATCCTGTGTTATAGCTTGTGCCCATTGACTTAAGTTCTGTCACTGGGCACTAATGAATAGAACCCAGCTTTGTCTTCTCCGCACCCCCCTTATATACATTGCCCTGCACTGGACACAACACTCCAGGTGTGGCCTCACCAGTGCTGAGCAGAGAGCAAGATCACCTCCCTTGACCTGCTGGCAATGCTGTGCCTAATGCAGCCCAGGATAGCATTGGCTTCTTTGCAGCAAGGGCACTTTACTGGCTCATTTTGCCTCTGCTTGAGTCAGTTGCCTACCAAGCTTAGAACACAGCAGAAGCCACGACTCAGTGTCCCTCCCAAGATGCTCAGGCATCAGTTTTGTGCTGGTCAGCGTATGCCTTGACACTGCCTTCCACATCTATAACATATGCTGCTGACCTGAGACAGAGACAAGATTCCACAACCACCTAATTTGTGCTACATATACCTGGACAGGAGCAGACCCAAGTAATTACACTGTGCATATCAACCTAGGATCAGGACTGAAAACAATGTTAAAGTAAATTGCTGTACCTTGCATTCTCTTTCACACTTGCTGAAACAGTAAATAAAAATCCTTTCTCTTCCTTGTTTCAAAGCAAGCACCAAGAAAACCAAGCAAGTCATTAAGGTCACTATTATAACCTGATATTAATAATACCTCCCCCATTATTATTATTATTCCAAATAAGCACTTGCCTATGTTGACAGTGGTTGCCTGGAATTCACCTAACTCCCTTCCATCAGGTCGACAGTTCTCTTTCTAAACAGAAATTACAAAGTTCAAATTAGAAAACATATTTTATTAAATAATACAGTAATATTTATGCTATAGGAGTTGATATAAAATAATATTCTTTTTAGCAGAAATATGCAGCCTCAAAAATGCTAGGGAAAACTTGGTCACACTGTAGCTGGTTTTTCATCAACTGATATGTAGTTTGTGGTTGTAGGCCTGCAAAAAAAATTCCCTTATTATAATTTATTATACCCTTTATTATAATTTATTTAGAAAATATAACAATAGATTTATTGTCTCAAAGGTAAGTACTACAGGCTAGATTCAGAATATCATCCAAGAATGAGTACCCATTGGTAACTTAAAATGAGAGTTTCCACCTGTCTACATTGTTCAAGTTTCGTAGGCAATTCCCCTCCTCCATTCCCACCTAGTGGAGCTCTAAAGAGAGTGAACAAAAAACAACCCCCAAAACAACCCCAAAAAACCGCAACATTCAAATACCATCAGGCAGAAGCTGTACAATACTGGACTTTTAAGTCAGAAATTAAAATAATATTCTATCATATTAGATCTGAAGAACCGCAAAAAAAAAATTCATTATAAGCAATTTATACAAGCATCTCACATTTTACTCACCAAAAATCTTTTGTAATATTCCAATGGTTCCACAGTTCTAAAGCAAATAGAAAGAGAAGTTCACATGCAAACTCTTGAGTAGGCAACTGATAGCAAAAAAAAAGATAAGCAAGCACTAACCCACAAAAACATATAATTTGAGAAGCAAGATGTCTGGCAAAGCTGCTTAGCAATATGGTTACAGAAAGAGGAGGAAACTCTGAACTGTCTAAGATGTTTTCCTACATTCAGTTCCAAAATGCCTCCTTCTTACAAGGAACCTGCCTGCACATATACCTAACAAAAACTACTAAGCTTTCACCTCAGTATTATTAGTTATAAATCAAAAGAAGTGTTTACTGACAGAAGGGTATAGAATGGTTTTCAAGAAATGCAGAAAGCATAATATTATAACTGTGTCTGAAATATGTTAGTTCAAGGACCACATTCAGATGTACAAAATGGTATAAAACAATTTTAAATGCTACAGTTTTTCTGAAAAAAAATCTTTGAGAAAATATAAAATTACAAAATATGCTTCGTGCAAGGCTTCAGGTGAGAAATAATTAACGCTCCTTATTAATTACATACTACTAACAGTCTTCATGTATTAGTATTTTAAGCAGGGATCATTAATGTAAAAAAAAACCCTCACCTCTTTTTTATAAAAGTGCTAACACTTAAACAAAGCATTCACAGTTTTGTTAAAATAGTACTTCTGGAGGAAAAAACCAAAAAAAGATAAAAGGGAAAAGCAAGTTTTTCAAATGCAAACTAACATATAGAGATATCACAAACAAAGCATGAATTAGCTCCTCTTGGCTCCACATATGTTGGTCCTGTACTACTGGTTTTCTGAAGCCCAACACAAGGCCTGTTCTCTTCCAATTCATGTAAAAGCACTTACTAAACGGTGTTTTGTGCATTTAAGACATAAATACAGAAGCAAGAACACTAGAATAGGCTGCCCAGAGAAGCTGTGGATGTCCCATCCCGGGAAGTGTTCAAGGCCAGGTTGGATGAGGCTCTGAGTAATCTGCTCTAGTGGAAGGTGTTCTGCCAACAGCAGGGAGGTTGGAATCAGATGATATTTGAAGATCCCCTCTGACCCAAACCATTTTACTATTCTAAAACTAGTAGTTATAAATGGGAAGCCACTGAATTCCCTACAGTTTTAACTTCCTTGTAATTCTATCAGCTGTGTCAGGGGAGGTTTAGGGTGGATATCAGGAAAAGGTTCTTCACCCAGTGGGTGGATGGGTGCCGGAAGAGGCTCCCCCGGGAAAGTGGTCACAGCATCAAGCCTGAGAGAGTCCAAGAAGATTTGGACAACGCTCTCAGATGTGAGACGTCACATGCAGGGTGATTTGGGTGTCCTGCGCGGGTCCAGGACTTGGACTCGGTGGTCCTTGTGCATCCAACTCGGGATACTCTGCAATTCTGTGACACCAGGTAGCTCCGGGCCACACTGAGTTCCGCGCTTTGTCGGGCACTTGCCCGGCAAGAAAGGGGGGTGCCCTGCTCGCTCAGCAGCCCCCCGCACACGTCGGGGCCCCGCAGCCCCCTCAGCACCGACCCCATCCCGGGGGCCGCGCCGAGCCCGCTCCCCTCGCGCGCGCAGTAGCACGGCGGGGCCCGGCGGCGCCGCGGGACCCAGGCGGCGCTGCCGCGATCCTCGCGCGCGGCCGGGACCCGCGGAGCGGGGCGGGCGGGACTGCGGCCGCCAGACCCGGCACTTACTTGAAGGCGGCCGCCATGGCGGCACCGCCGCCGCCCTGCATGTGCCGCCCCCTGACGGCCGGCCCGCCCGGCGGGCTCTGCGGGAGGACCGGCCTTGGCGGCGGCGCTCAGGGTGGCGGCGCTGGCGGGGCCTGGCCGCGGGGGGGCGCCAGCGGCTTTCGGCCATGCGGCCGGCATGGCGCCGGCGCTGCCGCCGCCGTCCCCGTCCCCGCCCCTGCCCCTGTCCCTATCCCTGTCCCTGCCCGCGGCCCTCGCCGCCCTCCTCCTCGTCCTGGTGAGAGCCGCGCACCGCGGTCATGGCGGGCCCGGGGGACTCCGTGACGGGGGCAATGCGCGGAGCTGCCCCTCGCCCGCACCCGCGGTGCGGAGCGGGGGCGCTGCCCGGCGGTCCTGGCCCTACCAGGGGGTCCCGGGGGGCTTCGGCTGGCCCAGGCAGGGCTGGCCCAAGCTGGGGGCAGCGCGGGTGGCACCGAGAGCCGTGCGGGCAGCAGCCGGCGAGGCTGCGCTGGTGCGGGGGTTGGTGCGGGCAAGGCGTCCGGGGACCTGCGGAGGGGATAAAGACACCTTGGGAAGTGTCCTGGTAACGCCCGTTCGCGGTAACCATCTGGGAGGTCGCTGCGTCTCTGCGTGGCTGAAATACCCGGCAAGTTGCAGAAGTTGGACACTCTGGAAGGCGGAGTTCTGCTGCCTGTCCGCAGTGCCGCGTATTCCTCCTGCCCGGGGAGGTGGTGGAGTCACCGTCTCTAGTGTGAATTTAAATTCCCCCTTTTTTAAGCCTAGATAAGACCTGAGGTCTTGCTGCCCTCTTAAAATGAGATCTTTAATTACTAAGCAAGAAAGTCCTGGCTCTGGCTCTTGATGTATTCCAGAGCCCCCACTTAATTTTACAGAGTGTCACAACATGGAACGGAAGGCTATGCAGACAACTTCCCTGATCACCAAAGCTTGTCATTCAAATCAGCACTCTGCCTAACTTGTCCTCACTCTTCTCTTTATAGATTTGCAGCAATACATTTGTATTTCAGTGAACTCTTAACCTTTACTATTTCTTCCTACCCTTGCATTTGCAGGGGTGACCCGGGGAGGTGGAAGTCTTCTATGTTACTCACTGTCCTGCATGACCCAGCCCTTCAAAGACACATCAAAACAAAGTATTCTCAAAGACTTTGAAAAGGAAATAAAAACAAATAGAGAAAATCTACATGGTAATTTTGCAACATTCTTACCAGCATCAATGTCTGCATAGTTAGTGCTTTCAAAAATACAGATTTCAATTTTTTAAAAACATATTTTTATATCTCTGCATAAAAGCCTTACTTTTCTGCACCCTTTGACTAATACTTCCTAAGAGACTTTTTCAAGAGACAACTTGATATAAAAGAGTTGTCTTTGAAAAACACATGCAGAAAAAGCAAGTTACTGAAAAAGGTTCAGTTTACACAAGTTTTCTTCACTGTTACCATTTTTTTATCACAAACAATAGCAGCGCAGTATCCCTTGATACACATTTAGCTTTTATCCTTACAAGCTATTTTTTTAACTCATATTTTAAATATCTATTGGAAAAACAGTAAAAATCTCTTTTTACTCTCAGGTATGTCTGCAGATGTGCAGTATGTTCTCTGTGACAACTCTAGCAGTTAATATCTCAAACAGGTTTCAGCAACACTGCAGCATTATTACAAGGCAGGGTAACTCTTAAATGAGTAATAACACAGCTTTAATCAATTTTAACCTATATAAAGTTCTCAGAGGTCACTGTTGTGAAGTGTAACCAGTCAAATGTAGAAGATGGCTCCAGCTCATTCTGCAGAATTGTGTTCAGTTATACACTGATTTACAACTCTCATAGTTTCTGTGCAGACCAGTCCACCACTGCCAATGTCCAGGTTAGGTTTTCACCATGGGAAATTAAATTATATCAATATATATAAGCACGAGCAACATTTCCAAGCCATTGAATAGTCCCAGACAGTATTTAACTTGAATTCTCTGCTAATGTTTAAGGCTCTGGAGACCTATCCATAATTATTTATGTACCTATTGTCCAAGTGTTCCTTGAGTTCACAGTGATAATGATGACTGTAAACTAAAAATAGTTGAAATGAAGAGACAGGCGAAGACAGAAAGCTGCAATGAAGCTTCTGTATCTCAGTGTTTATTATTTAAAATAACATTTAACCTTATTTATGATACATGTATGTTTCTTAGGGCTGTAGTGGCATGTCTGTAATAGCTCAAGGGGCATGAATTAAAGTAGTGTTCCAACACTGTTGAAGGCTGCACCCTGCCAGTTGAACCATAAGTTATCTACCTCTGTGGGATAGGGATTTGGAGGTTAAGAATCGGATGCTCCTACAACCTGCTTGTTGCATTAGCCAACGGCACATAGGGGAGTCTTGAGCACACAAGCCCTCAGGGGAGAAGCTATAAACAAACTTTAGTTTCTTACTCGGAAAAAAATGGTATTTTCATATGACCAAGCTTAAGTAACAGTTGTGAGATCATAGCTGAGAGGGGTGTGCTAGAAAAGAAAGAGCTAACTAGCCTCCATTTTCCTGGGTATTTTTTAATCTACTTTTCTTTATACTGTTCATCGAGCTGTTCAATTCCCAAGCTGCATAATGAGGTATTTCCCTGATTTAAGAAAGAATTTTTCCAGTCCCGCTTGTTGGACACATTCTTCCAAGTACCTGTACACTCTTGCAGGTAACAGTAAATCAGTCTGTAAGTTATCAGTCTTATCTGCCAGATTCTTAAACTACACACATTTACACACACTAACACAAATACAATATGTTTGTGTTAGTGCAAAAAATAGACCTGCTTTTTGCTAAAGCAATGTTTTCAATGTCTCCCTTTCTGCAGAAGGAGATGAACTCTTGCTGGATGTGGAATCTGCTGGTAATATCACTCCACACCTGAAGTTAAATGGTCTAGCCCATTTCAGACCAGCAGTCAGGTCAGCAGTAGCTCTTCAAAACACTGTAAATGCATGACTGCAGTTACTAGAAATATTCTGACTTACCTGAGGCAAACAGCAGCAAGCAAGCTGCAGCAGCACGGGCTGTGGGACAGCTGGGGATGTTGGCCAACTGCAAAGTAAACATTACTACAGCAGGGCGCAGGGGAAATGCTTCCAACTTCTCTTAAGGAAAGTGACCTCAAGCAGGGAATGAATACTTTTCAGACTCTTCAGCTTCCAGGCCTCCTAATTCTCACACCTTTTCTAAGGAGAGTCTACCATCAACATGCAAGTATTCAGTCATAAGCGCTTTATCAGGCTGTGAGAGGTTATCCTTTGTCTACATTTACTCTACCACACTTCCCAGCACTCTCATGCAAGCAGTCAATTCTGTCAATAATTTACTTACAGTCTCTTTTTACATGTTCACTCAATATTCAAGAAACAGCTGCAGACCAAACACCCTCCCAAACTGGCTTAGCCACAGGTGATTCTTCTTACCTACGTGACAGCCCATGCCTTTGCATCCGTCAGGCTCTGTCTTCCTTGAGTCTTCACATTCTGCTGTCGAGATCACTTTCCTTCTTTGAACTTTGATCAATTTGTCATTTTAGCAGAGCAAACTTCAATATCTAGACTGAATCCAAGCCTTTGTCACTGGCATGTTCTGTGCAATATTCTTGAAGAATGAAATGACATTAATTCTGGCATTCCCATCTGGTTTCTGCCATGTTCTGAAGTTTCATGGGGGGTTATTCTGACACTGTATAAAGATCCCATTACAAAACAAACGAAAATACTGACTGTCAGCTGTTGGACTGGAGATCAGAAGAATTATTTGAACCACAGGATGATGAAGAATCATGGAGTTCTGCAAACAGTTTTGGCAAATTGACTTTGTCTGGTCTCTGGTAAGCAGCCTTCCACCTGTGGGACAAATCCTTATCTTCCTATCTTTGTAGAGTAGAGAAAGGTTTAGCTAATTATGTCAAGGACAGACTTCACCCAGTAGCCATGTTACAACCTCAGCTGTACAGGCTGTCGTAAACCATCCACTGCATACTCTGAATCATCTGCTGTCAAACTAGGAAAAAGGTCAAAACCACGAGAAATTTCTAACTGTTTGGCTGACTAGGTCCAATGCCATTTAAGGTCTCAACAACAGAACTGCTGATAACTTTCATATCTTGTTGCCAAAAAACAAAACCCCAAAACCTTACCTATGGCTATCTTCCGGTCTTAATCCCTTAATCCCACCCTCCCACCCTTAAACCCTTAATCCCTCTCCCCTTCCCCTCCCCCCCAACGCCTCCCTCTCTTCCTGCCCCCTCCTCCCTCCCTCCCTTTCCCCTCCTTTACTCCCTTAATCGACCCTCCCTGCCCCCCTTAATCCCACTCTCCCTCCCTTAATCCCTTAATCTCTCCCTCCCTTAATCTCTCCCTCCCTCACCCCTTCCCTCCTCCCATCCTCCCTCCCTCCCTCTCTCCTTCCCTTCCCACCTCTTTCCCTCCTTTCCTTAATCCCTTAATCCCACCCTCCCCCTTCCTTCACTCTTTCGTCCTTCCCTCTCTCCTCCCTCCCTCCCTAATCCTCCCCCACTCTTCCTTCCTCCCATCCTGAGATGGCACTTGAGTGCATGTAGTGGTTCTTACGGTTACATAGTTTGCTAATCTCCAGGGCAAAGGGAATAATATGGAACTAATTTATCCGTTTTGTTTACATGAAGGGTGCCAAGGGAATGAATGTTTCTGAGAACAGCAATTGTGTTGTGTCTTCAAGGTAATGTGTTTCATGAGTAAGGAGACAGCCTTGGAATAAATAGGCATACACTGCAGCTGATCAGGAGATGAGGGCCCAAGAGCAGACTACAAATTCGCGTTATCTGATGGTATAGAAACACAGATTTTTTAAAATTTCTTTTATGAAATATTCAAGTACTAAGAAATAAAGATATGCTCTTTCCTTTAAACACTATGAAGTAATATAAAATTTTAGTTAAATTATTTGGAATACTATTATTTTTACTGTGTTATGTTTTCCTGTACTTTTCCAATCTTTAAGTTTCACCATATGAAAGTGATATTAAAGTATGATATTAAAGTATGATATTA